GAGGCGCGGGGCCTCCGGGGCTCCGGGAAAGGCGCAGGAGCGAGCGAGCGAGCCGACTGCCACCCCCGGGAGCCGGGGAACAAAGACCCCTTTGTTCGCGCTCAGCCCCGCTCCCCGGGAACCGTGTCGTGGGTGTGGCGCCGGGTGGGGGAGGCGGCGGCTCGGCCAGGTACGCGTCCTCCGCTTGGACCAGCGGCGGGAGGTCCCTCCACGCTGGGGGGTGCACAGGCGGCTGCCCCCTCCCCGCGCACCTGCGTCCCTGAGCGGTGCACACGGAGCCCGCCACCCCGAGTTACCCGGACAGCCAGAGACATGACCCCAAGAGTCTAGGTCTCCACCTCCGCCTCTGGGGCGACAAAGAGGGACAGGGGCGGGGCTGAGGTCCCCTCCCCAAACTGCGCTTGGCTTCCTCAAAACCACCTCAAAGTAATAAAAAAAAAAATCACAACAGAAACACGCGTTCAGATGAACAATTGGTGGTTTCCCACTTTCAGAAAATGTGGATACAGAATGTCGAATAAAGTTTGTTTTTATTGATCTGCAAAACAGGGAAGTTAAAGCAGGTGGTGGCCTTGGGGGACCGCGTATGTACTAGGGGCGCAGCCTGCTTCCCGCCCCCCTCGGTGGCAACTCCCTCATTCTCCTCCAGCCCGAGCCCCCAACGCCGCCTACTCCAGGTAGAACATCTGGCCTGGCCCAGGAGTGCAGGTGTTTTGCAAAGCGAAAGCGGCGTCTCCGCGCGGCCTCTTGGTGCTCGCACGGGAAGAGCGTGTCCTGAGACGGGGCGCAGCCAGGCGGGGTGGACACGGTCACCCGTGGGCCGTGAGGGCTTCCCAAAGTCCCCGGGGAAACCCGAGAAAGGAGGGGGTGAGGGAGGAGACGTGGGAACCCGGGGCCAGCAAGGCAGCCGCGCGCCCAGGTGGTGCACCCGGAAGGGGCGGAGGAGAGGTGAGCAGGTGGCCCCGCGCCCCCGGCCAGGCGGCCCCGGGGTCCGCGCCCACGATGCTCAGAGGAGGGGAGCCTGGTTTGAATTCTCCCGGTTCGCGGGGCGTAAGGGGGACCCCGCGGGTTTCGTCACGGACGCCCAGGGCCCGGACGGGCGGGGGAGGGAGGAGGCTTCCCCTGTCCCCGCCCGACTGGGCTCGCGGCCTCGTGATGTACTTCCTGCGCCCGAGGATTCCCTTTGTGTGCGGATGGGAGAGGATCCGGCCGCGCCACTCGCTGGTGCCGGGGGCGCGCCGGGCACGGCGGCGGGGGTGTCACCACCGTGGGTGGCTCGCGCGCGCGCACACACACTTAGCCGCGCGCACATCTGCACGCACCCACGCGCGCACACGCAGGCACGCGCATTCTCACCCCTACCCTGGACTAAATTTGAAGGTAACCACACGGATAGTGTCAGGAAATGGGGACCGCACCTCTGTAGTGACGCCACTGAGGGGAGAAGGGGATTCCTGAGTGGGTGGTGCGGGCTGGTCATCCTTTTGGTTACCGCCAGGCGACCCCCCTCTGCAGTCCTCACCCCTCTGCAACCCGCAGCTCTTTACCCGCACAGCGTCTAGTGTGGCGCTCTGCCCCGCGCTAGGCTCCAGGGCTCCCTCTTGGGCAGAGAAAGAGAATGATGGGGAAGCCCCTATTTCTGCTTAGGTGACATGCTGTGTCCCAGAAAACCCTGGCTGTCACTGTGCGGGAGAAATGCCTTCTTTGAAATGACATAACAATAGGTATGAAATAGTAGTTGTAAACCGTGATAAAGGTTCATAAAATTTACACTGGAGCTGCGCGTGGTGAGCAGAGTTTGTGTTAATGGTTTCACGTGAGCCTGGCATGTGTCATCAAACGTATAAAATCACAACTTGCAAGGAACAAGTTAAGACTTTTAGGAAATTGGCAACTGAAAGAGAAAGCCTCTATCTCCAGTGATTTGTTAACTCAATGTCTTAGGTTCCCCTCCATTTGTGGGCCAGACGGTCGTGCAAGGTCCTTCCTCCAAACTCCAAAGCCTGGTACGTTGGCCTTGATGCCATTCCACCCTGGAATTTTCCTTCTTTATGAAAGACATAACATCCTGGTCTTGGGTGTAGGATGTAAGTCTGGTTCATCCAGGGACCTCGTTCTCCAAAGTGTTTGTGACATGTATGAATCCAAGCTGTAACATTAAAGCATGCCCTCGGTGACAGGTTAATCAGGTGACATGACCCTGGGACACAGTGTGCCATCCTAAAATCAAGGGTCAAGAAAGAAATGCCCTGAAGAGTCTGAAATTTGTCCTCTCACCAGCCACCCATCTTTTTCCTTGAAGAGTCCACCTGCCCTCAGCAATGAACAGAAGACAAGGTTGACCTGCTGCAATCCCAAAGGTACTCAATTCAAACCCACCAGCTGCTCTGGAAGAAAGATGGGCAATTTCCTCCCATGGAATTAAAAACCTCTGAAAACCCATTGGAGAGTCAGCTATGGGCAGGTTCCGACTCAAATGGTACTCCACAACAACACGTTTATTCCTACAGGGATGGAGCCTTTGTTCTATGGCTTTGACAAGACAACATTAAAGAAAGTGTAACCCACACAATACAGCACCATAGCGTAAAGTAAAACTCAAGGCTGTCGTGTGGGGACTACTCATAGCTAACCCTGGCCCCAGCAGGTTTTGGAGAGGCTGTACCCTTTCTCCTGAATCATTGCAGGGAGATTCAAACCACCTGAGAGGTCTTTTCCCTGCTAGCACAACTCGTTACAGGCTACCCTAGCATGGCTTCCCTCTATTAAGTAAAGGCCTCTAAAAATTTGTTAGTGTTCCTGGAAGTTGAGATCATTTTTATTTCTAAATGGCTGAAGTTATAAAATTTCTAAACTTAGAGCACTCCAGAAATGTAAGCTCACTTTAGGTAAAACAAGCCTATTCTTATTTTACTGTCATAGACGACTCATAGCGACCCTATCTATGAACAAAAGACCTCAACACTTGTGTAACTTTCATTGTTTCTCCAAGTTCATAGTTTCTGGAGGCAAGCTATTACAGAAGTGGATGCCACTCCTGCTTCCAAGCTTGTTTTAATTGGAGAGTTCTACCAAACACTGTCCACCATGGGTAACTAATATCGCGTTTGACACATCAGTGTCACAGTGTTCAGCTTCACAGCAACCACAAGTTCAGTTTCACAGCCAACACGAGTTACCTCTGTACAGCAAACGGACTGACCAGTGCTATACCCCTTAGAAGAATGTTTGACTAAAAACAATTAAAACCAGGCCTGAGGGTCACAGACTGAAATCAACCACCTTTGGTTTGGTAGCATCACTTCCTACCCACTAGGCCCACAGAGCGACACCACAATTTAGGGAGCTCTGATGACCTAGTGGTAAGAAACTGCACTACAACCCCAAAGGCATGTGGTTCATAATTGGACAGCTGTTACATGAGAGAAGCATGGGCAAACTATGTGATTTACTGCCCCTCACAGGCCCCGGAGGGTCAGCTGTGGGTCATTTCTGACCAGACGACAAGTTCATTTTAAGGAACATCATTGGTCCTTACTTTTTCTTACTCTTTGTTGCTGTGTAACAAGTAATCCCAAGACTCACTGAGTTAGTACATTTTACTGTTTATTTCTTTTATTGTTTCTTTTTTCTTGTTCTCAGCTCCACAGTCTATGAGAGAGTGCTGGAGGACAAGCTTATTTGGCAAGGAGCTTCCCGTAGAGTTCACCTTACTAGACTTCCAAGATAGTAGGCTCACAGGCTGGCAGCTTGGTGCCTGGGAGTCAGCTGGGAACTTAGTTAGATGCTAAGGTCTTGGGGTCTAACTTCTTCAGTGATTTTCTCCATGAAATACGTAGGCTTCCTCAGTGCATAGTGTCTAAGTTTCAAAAATTAGTCCCAACGTCAAACAGAGATTTGTATGCTAGTGTTCATAACAGCATTATTCACCATCACAAGAACATGGAAACAACCCAAATATCCAACCACAATCAAATAGACTGAAAAATTGAGGTACATTCACATGATGGAAAACTATGCAGCATACAAGAGCAATGGTTTTGAAAATCACTACCTAACTTGGGAGGGACTGGAGAGCATTATGCTGAGTGAACTAATTCAATCCTATAACGATAAATACTGTTTAAGACCATTATTGTAGAAACAGATAAATGTGTATGAGGATTGGGAGGTGGGGCAGGTAGGAAGCAGAGGCGTGAGGATGGGCAGGGGGTTAATCATAGGGTCACATAATTTGATGGGTCGAGAGAGGGGTGGATAAAGGAAATGGGAAAGATCTGGTGTAAAAAAAATGTATAAGAACTTTGTAAGTAAATCAGTATAAAATGAAAATTTTCTTAAAAAAACTAGTGAACTTCCAGCTTCTTCAAATCTGGTCTAGAAATTACCAAAACAGAAGCAAGCAGAGAGCCCAGATACTAGGGAAGGAAACGTAAGTCCACCTTCTTTGTTGTTGTGTTTTCAAGTCCACCTTTTTGAAGTAAGAAATGGCAAATACTTTTGAACCACGTGTTTAAAAATCTCCACATCGATTAGTGATTATAAAAGTATTCAAAGCCAAAATCCCACATTTTATTTTAAAGAATTTT